CCATGAGTGCTCAGGGGCCCACAGCCCACTTGTTAAAACTTAACAAAAACCAGAACCAGCCTTATCAAAAGGCTGCAGGACAGGCAGGCGTCGGTCAAGCCTCACAGATGAAGCCATAAAGCAAGACAGAACTCCTGACCACCCTGGGGGCCCGATACCAGGAAATCTTTAGAAAACGTCTGTGCTTCTGAGGTCACCTCCCATTTAGCAATCCTATTTCCCCTCAGCCCCGGACCTTACCCCATACCTCTGCATACCTTTGAAATTACTGGTGAAATTACTATGTGTGTTTGAAATTAACCAATAACTGCGTTTCTGCTTCTGCACCCTGCTTCTGCCTTATAAAAACCCCCTGAACTCAACCTGGGGCGCGCTAGTCCTCCGAGGAGACTTTGTGCCCACAGGTACCTGTGTCCTGAATAAACCTCTTGCTGTTGCAACCCAAAGGCTGTGACTTGTCCTCCGTGGTTTGACTCTTACAATATAAGTCAAAATAATACCCAGAACAAAGTACCGTAGTGCCCTCACCTTCACCCCCCCAACGGAAGCTACTTCTGCCACTTCTTACTGTGGAGAAGGATCAAATTATTTTTGTTTGTACTTCCTAAGAAGTTCCGAGGCTCTCTGTTTTCAGTTTGGACTATAAGGCCACTAGAAAATCATGAATAAGACCTACTCCAGTTGTGCGTGCTGAAAACTACAACTCCCAGCATGCATTCGACCTCCGTGGTTGCAGTGCATCCTGGGAAAAAGGGTTCAGCTCCCTATTGGCCACGCAGGTGAAGCAGGGCAGATAGCTGGATTTTAGCGTTGGGTACCTGGGAGCCAGATTTTCGGGCGGAACTGTTTTGCGCTTTGGGCGTTGTAGCCGGTGCGATTAAAGAACGGCTTTATTTCCGGTCTACCGGAAGCAATTTGAAAATGGCGTCTTCCTCTTCGTACGCGTCTGCTACAGCAGCTGGGAAAAGTGAATTTCGCAGGCAGAAGCGGAAGCCGGAGAACCAAGGTGAGGTGGAGGGAGAACCGAAGCCTGGAGTCGGTGGACGCTGAAGTCGAGTTTTATTTCCTTGGCCGCGGACTTGTAGAAAGCCGCTTTTAGATGTTAAGTGTTGGATGTGGTTGCTGATAATGGGGGTGGGGGGGTGGGATGGGCCCTACACGTGTTTACACCTCCTTGCTTTTGCCGGAGGCCATGCCTGCGGAATACCACCTCTGTGGAATAGGTCCCCGGGAACCGGATGAGGATTCTGAAGTTTCCCAGGGCGCTTCGGGTCTTGCAGCCCGCAGGACAGTTGTTGGCAGGGACAGGATCAGATCAAGTGGGGTAGCCATAGGGAAGGGGCGGGGCGGACATAGTACTGTGGGGGAGCTAGGTGGGTAGTTGGTCAGACCTTTTTTATCGAGTTAGGAAAATATTGGACGACACAGCTCTTAGTCTTTGGACTGCCTTCGTTTTGATTCCTCTCTCGGGTTGCATTAGTAGTTTCGTTTTACCTACCTTCAGTATGAATGATTAAGAGATACTAGAGAAATAGATCGGAGTATTGCCAGCCAATCTTGCAGGGAATGTTAAAAACTTTAAACTCTGATTCTAGGTGCATTGGAATGTATTAAAAAGTTTTAGGTTTTTTTTTGTTTGTTTGGTTTTTTTTCAGTCTTTTTGAGACAGGGTTTCCCTGTAGCCCCAGCTGGCCTGGAACTCACTATGTAGACCAGGCTGGCCTTGAACTCACAGAGATCCGCCTGCCTCTGCCTCCCGAGTGCTGGGATTAAAGGCGTGCGCCACCACGCCCGGCAAAAAGTTTTAATTTTTTAGACAGAGTCTCACTATGTATCCTTGGCTAGCATCATTCTCACAGAGATCCGCCTGCCTTTGCCTCCCGAGTGCTGAGATTAAAGGCTTGTGCCACGCCCGGCTGTTTTAAGTTTTTAAATTGCGTTTAAAAAACTATGTGTAAAATACAGTAGGCACTATAGATGCAGTTAAAAGACTAAAACTAACGCCTCAGAAACTGGCACTCAGACTTTTAGTAGGGTTAACCATATCCCCAAAGGTCCCATATGCCCATCTCAGAACTTTCTTTCCTGGTATGGGGAATAACTAGTGCGAATCATGTTGAGCAATCTGTTACCTGTCTTCAGCCTTTATCATCGTTAACAGAATGGCTTGATTTTTGCCATTTTACCACTGGTGGACATTGGGGTTCTGCCCACTGCTTACTGTTCTAAACAGCAACTATAAACATCTTTCTGCATGTCTTCTGCTAATATCTAAGGGTATACCTGTATCCAAGGATTGGAGGCGTCAAATTGCAGGTTGTGTTCAAACTATCATAACACTTTCCAAAAGGACTCTGCTGGTTTTGACTCTTACTAGTATTAGATATGATTTCTCATTGCTCTAAGCTTACACTAATAACTTATTTCAATTTTGTGTATCTGCTGTTTGGTAGGTAAATTGCATCTGGTTGTAGTTTTAATTTGAACTTCCCTGATTACTGATGAAGTTGCAGTTTGGGGCTATTTGTACTTCTCTTGTGAAAGCCTCTTTCAATTCTTTAGCTGGTTTATTTGATTGCTTGTTTCAGGCCTGGGGTAGGTGGCCTCCCTCACCCACCAACTCTTTACAGATTGATAGTATTTGAAACATTTAAATTGGATAGGGACTTAGTCAAATATGCATTTTAAGTTATTAATGTCTTAGAATTTAGGTTTGCATCTAAAAAATGTTAATGGAAAGTGAATGGTGATGAGATAGTTTGTTCTCTGTACTTTGAACCAGAAAAAGCAAAGTGAATGTGAGTAGAAGCAGCAGAAAGCAGGTTCCTCAATTGATAATATGGGCTAAAGACATGCTTTTCAAATTTAGTAGTTTCTGAAGTTCTTGGTGAGATTAAGAACAAATTCCTAGCCCTCGTCCCAGAGATTGTGATTCACAGTGCCTCCAGTGAGCCCAAGAATTGCACTTCTAACAACCTCCTACTTGTATGCTAATGCTACAAGTTTATGGATCATATCTTTTAATTTTTATTTATTTTTATTTTATCTGTGTAAGTGTTTTGCCTGAATGTGTGTAAGTGCACCACGTGTGTGCACTGCCCATGGAGGCCAGAAGAGGATGTCAGATCCTCTGGAGCTGGAGTTTGGCATGATTAATGGCTACCATGTGGGTTCAGGGAACCTAATCTGGGTCCCCTGCAAGAGTAGCTCCTGTACTTGACCACTGAGCAATCTCTCCAGTCCTATAGATCATCTTTGAATAGAATTGAAGTGTAGCTATTCAACTTGAGCAGTTTTTTAAAACCCAGGACTGGGAGTTTTAATAAGTGACACATGGCTCTCAGGAGGCATTTCTTTTAGTAAAGGGTGTCCTAGATGAATCAGCTTTATGCCTCTGTAGGTCTTTTCCTATATGGGACGATAATACTGGTTCTTTCTAGCTTCATATTGCCATAGCAGACATGTAGAAAGCACTTTGGGAAACCCAAAATCCTATACCAGTGATTACTAACTGACATATACACACATGCAAACACACACACACACACACACACACACATACACACAAACACACATACACATTCACACAGGTATATAAGTTTATAGCTTTCTGCCAGATATATCCCAGTTAGTGTGGATCAGAAGTAAAGGGCCCCTGCCCTTGAAGAACTTGGTCCATGAGGCAGTTCCAATGCATCCAGTTAGTTTTGTACAGCATATTGATGATAATGGCAGAGGCACATCCTTTGATTGTTGAATAATATAAAAAGCAGGAAGAGGAAATGTAAAGCATATATTGGGAAGCTTATGAATGTGTGCACACAATGTTCATCAAGTGTCCAGAAGACCATTAAAATGTGATATGTACATGTTTTCCCTTCTATAGATGAGTCAGAACTCCTCACTGTTCCTGATGGATGGAAGGAACCAACTTTCTCTAAAGAGGACAATCCCAGAGGACTCTTGGAGGAAAGCAGCTTTGCCACCTTGTTCCCAAAATACAGAGAGGCTTACTTAAAAGAGTGTTGGCCTTTGGTGCAGAAAGCCTTGAATGAACATGTATGCATTTTAAAAAATGTTTTATTTATTATTTTTTGCGTATGAATGTATTGCCTTCCTGTAAGTGCACCCGTGTCATGCAGTGCCTTCGGACGTCAAAAGAGGGTGTCCAATTCCCCTGGAACTGGAGTTATGAATGGTTGTTAATCACCATGTGGATGCTGGGAATTTAACCCAGGTCCAGTGTGAGAACAGCCAGTGCTTTTAACTGACAAGCCATCTCTCCAACCCATATGCATTTTTTTTTTTATACATTTAGATTTTGTTCTTCCTTATGCCCTTAACTTTTAATTTTATTTAAGTGTATGTTTGCTCGTAGATGTTGTTTTCAGAGGTGCTGACATAGCTGGTTAATTTGGTTCCTTCAGCATTTAAAACAATCTAGATAAGCTTTATTTTTACAGTGTATTGATTTATTTATTTTTATTATTTATTGTGTAAGGAAGAGAAGGCACACATTCTGGGATAAGATAAGACATATATTAAATACACAAGTCAGTTGTGATTATTCATTACAATTTTCTTTTTCATTTATTTGAGAAAGGGTTTCCCTGTAGCCTTGGCTGGCCTGGAACTCGCTATGTAGACCTGTCCTGGAACTCACAGCGCTCAACCTGCCTCTGCCTCCCAAATGCTTGGATTAAACGTGTGCACCATCATGCCTGGCCAGTTTATTCTTTTAAATTTTGTGCATAATAAAGGACTTTGAAAAATTTATATGGTTTACCTTTGTAGAGGTTTCTCCAACTGTCTAAACTACCCTTCTGCTGTACACATTTCAGAATCCCTTTCCTGGCTGCAATAGTTACCTGCCCAATTTGAGCCAAGCCATATTTTAATGACTTTTTATTTTAAACAAAACATGTTGATATATTCATCTTTTCCTTATTTATTTTCTGCTGTCAGGTTCCAGAACAGTGCATTTACTTTGTCTTTTTTGAGGTATATTAACGAATTGAAAAGTCAATTTAGTGGTTTTATGAGTCTTTAAAAGCAAATGTATCCCTTGTGGTCAGGGTACTTGTCAATGTCTAAAGCTGATGGTTCTTTCTGTATGTGTGTGCCTGCATGCATGTTTCTGTACTAGATTTTGATACAACATGTGCTGCTTACTCTGGAACTGTTCTGGAATTAGTTGTACCCATTGGGGCAGGGTACCTCAGTAAAATATATACTTTTTAAAAATAGTTGTTCGTATCTGAGGTCCAGCTCATTTTTTTCCTTGTAACCTTAGAGACCCAACTTTTTATGTTGAAATGTTCATTACTCACAATATTGAAGGATTCTGATTGTGTCACAAGACACAAAAGAGCATTTTTGTTTCCTTTGTTAAAAATCTAGTTCTTGGGGCGGGAGAGATGGCTATCAGTAAGTCCTTGCTATGCAGACCTCAGGAGCTGAGTTTAATCCCCAGAATCTGTGTAGAAAATGAGCATGATGGTTTGTAATCCCAACGTGGTGGAGATGGAGGCAGGAGGACCCCTGGGGCTCGCTGGCCAGCCTATAGCCTGCATGTCAAGCTCTAGGCCAGTGAGACACCGTGTCTCAAAAACAAGGTATATAGGATCTGAGGGACAATACTTGATCCTGACCTCTGACCTTCATATGCACCAGCATGCTCACATGCACCCATACACACATAGAAGATTACTTTAAAAAATAAAGCCTAGTTCTTGCATTGAGAGCTAATGCTTCTCTGCCCTAATTATTGCTTCTTTTTGAACCTGTGGTAATTTGCTTTTTCTTCGCATTTTCAGTCCCTTAGCCAGTTAGAACGAAATTTAAAAGGAAAACTTCTCAGTCTTGGTTCTAAGTGCATCAGCTTATATTCTGTATGAAGCATGAAGTATTCATATTTTTATTCATATTTGTATTCTGTTTGAAGTATGAAGGTATTCAAATAACTCATTAACTGCTCAGTTTATTCAGGAAGGGAGTTGATAGGATTTGGAAGTTAGGTTAAAGGCATAGAAATAAATAGTGTGAGTGGGATAGGCTTTATAATGATCTAAGCTGAACCCACTTTCGGACCTTTCCTTCTTTTCATAGCATATTAATGCAACTCTGGACTTGATTGAAGGCAGCATGACTGTTTGTACTACAAAGAAGACTTTTGATCCATATATCATCGTTAGGGCCAGAGACCTAATAAAGCTGTTAGCAAGGAGTGTTTCATTTGAACAGGTAAATCAAGGATTACAGAGATTTTGCTTTATTTGCATCTACGTTAGATAGCATGTAATACTGAATCTCTCCCTTTCTGCCCCACTCTACCTTCCCCTCCCTCCCTCCCTGCCTCACTTTACCTCCCCTGCCCTCCCTCCCTTGTCCTCCCTCACTTACTCTAACTACCCTTCCCTCCCTCCCTCCTTCCTTCCCTGCCTCTCTCTACCTCCCCTTCCCTCCCTCTCCTGTGTTTATGTTTAAGCTTAATTAACCTTTTTTTTTTCCCCCCCTGTGCTGATTTTTTTTGCTTTGGTTTGGTTTGATTTTGTTTTTTCCTAAAAGGCAGTACGGATACTTCAGGATGATGCTGCATGTGACATTATTAAAATTGGTTCTTTAGTAAGAAATAAAGAGAGATTTGTAAAAAGAAGACAGCGGCTTATTGGTCCCAAAGGATCTACATTGAAGGTATATTTTTATTTATTTTTTGGTCAGTCAGTGGAAAACTTAAATATCTTTACAATTAATTTTTCAGTGTATTGAATTTCAATTTACTGTTTTGATATAGGCATTGGAACTCTTAACAAACTGTTACATTATGGTTCAGGGAAATACTGTTTCAGCCATTGGACCTTTCAGTGGCCTAAAAGAGGTGAGAATTATTATCTCATATTCAGAAGATAGCAAATTAAATAATTTGATTGTAGTTGTTCTTTGGATAATGTTTTATAATTATTTTGTATTTTTAGAATGTACTTTGTTTGATTTCTCATTTGTAAATACTTTATATGCCATGTAACTTGAGGGCATCCTCACTCCTGGACCTTGACATATTTGGTGACTGTGGGGACATGAATTTCTTAATTAGGTCTGTACAGTACCCCTTATAGAACTGAAATAGGTATTTCAGATCTTACTCTGTAGCACATAGAAACCTGCTATCCTTAACATGTACTCAAGTGATTGAATGCCGAGATCTCATTATCTGTAGTAATGCGTACCACCAGTAGAGGTCAGACTCTTCCCTCAAGCTATGCTTTCTTTTGTTTCAATTTTAGTGCTTTCATGAACATTTTCTTTAACTTGTCAAATGTTTTGAGGAAGTCTATGGAGCACATATTGATCTGTTAGCTCCTTTAGAGGCAGTGATATCCAGATCTGGCTGTGCAGGTTCGCTTCCTTCCTAGGAAGCCTTTCATGGTAATTCTGTTGACTCTCTTCTAAATTGCCTACTTCTTTTCTGATGGAACGATAGTAAACATATCAAATACTTTATAGTTATTGTAGATTTTGAAATAAATTATTTAATTTGTATAGTAGACCTGTGTGTGTGTATGTGTGTGTGTGTGTGTGTGTGTGTGTGTGTATCATCGCCATTTTGCAAACGAAAAGGCTGCAGCAGGGAAATTAACTGAATCTTACATGATGTGGCAGTCCGAGGAGCTTACCTTTTTTTCCTTTTTTTTTCCGGTGCTGGTAATTGAACCTCATGAATGATAGACAAGGCCTCTGCCACTGAGCTATATCCCAGTCCCAGGACTGAACCTTCATTTTCTGACTCTAAATCCAAGCCCTCTTTCCTAAATCACTAACTGTTATATCAGTTATGTGTCATATTGTCACAGTAATAGAGAAATTTTCTTGTATCCAAGAAACATTGACTACTATAGATCTGGAGGCCACTCAGAACAATTGAAGGAGTTATATTCAATGTGGTGGTTAGCTCCTGATTCTGGGATATTTTACAGTAGATTAATTATCCAGTTTATCGAAATCTTTGGCTACTTCATCTTCCTTTGTTTTAAATTTCAGGTTCGAAAAGTAGTCCTTGATACAATGAAGAATATTCATCCAATTTATAACATTAAAGTGAGTATTAATTTATGCTAATAACTAGTGACCGTCAAGCTTCTTTTAACCTTAGAAATTTTTTGGAAATTAAATATTTTACGAAAACCTAATTATATTGACAGGTATCGCAAAGCTATTTTGTGTGAATTGGGGATAGAATTCATCCTACTTAATTCTCCCTCAGTTTTTCTTTGAGGCTGTGTCTCCAGGGTAAAAACTATTGAAAGAGATACTATCATGTATTGTATAGTTATAATGTAATGAATTAAGCCTCATCAGACTGATTAGAGACTTTCTTATATTGTAAGCCCATAAAGATGTGACCTTTTAGGGTTCTGCTTATTTCTGTCAAAGAAAATCTGAACTATCTCAGATTGCATTAAATAAACACATTGTAGCCTCTTTTGAAACAGACCTGTTATGTCTTTGTGTGCTCAAAGAATATGATTGTACTTGGAATATAGCCATCGTATGAGCTCTTTAATGATCAGTACTTGTTGAGTAATTCATTTAAATTTGATGAAGTTAGGAAATCAACAAGATTGGGTTAAAGTAAGTTACTTGGGGACATTTCCTATGGTACCTTAGTTGCTACTGAAAGCTTACAGCAATCACCAACTAATTCAGACCTCTCTCTGCTGTTATTAAGTTGAATTCTAAAAGTTTAATGAAGTCATAATTGGAAAGCTGAGTTCATTTCAATCTCATATCGTTTTCTGCATTTACTCTAGATTCTTATAGTTTTCTGATGTTTGGCTATAATAATAACCATAATTACAGTTATTATTCCAAGTACATGTTTAGAATGATGTTCTCTATTTGTGCAATTGGTTAATTCTCTTGAATGTACTAGGATCTAGACCCTTTTAGGTTTGTAGAAGCAATGTTAACAAATACATGAATTTTGGAATTAAATTTTGAAATTTTATTTTTATGTATGTGACTAAAGACATTAATGATTAAACGAGAATTGGCAAAAGATTCTGAATTACGTTCACAAAGTTGGGAAAGGTTTTTGCCACAGTTCAAGCACAAAAATGTGAACAAACGCAAGGAACCAAAGAAGAAAACTGTGAAGAAAGAGTACACACCATTCCCACCACCACAGCCGGAAAGCCAGGTCAGTGCCAACTGTGAGCCAGAAGAAACTACCTTAAAGTCTTCAGAAACGTCATTGAGGGTAGTTTTAGTGGAGTGTGTGTGCATGTGTGTAGAATATAAGAAATTGAAGGTAAGTGTAACTAGACATTTTTCAAGCTAAGGGTCTAGAGAGTGGGATCTTTACAGTGAGGAAACTGTCGGGGTGGTTGGTGTCAGTTATGTAAATGTTCTCTAAATAAAAATAATTTCAGTGCTTTAACCCACAATAGTTTCTGTTTTGCTTACCAAGATTTTGTGACCATGTGTTATATCACTTTAGAAATCTTCAGCTCTAACATCTGTCTTTTTGCTGCTGTGAATTCCTTCCATTCGCCAGCTTTCTTCTGCCTTGGTTCATCCCTTTACAGCCATGGCCAATATTTCCTTTTCTTTGTTGTCCGTGTCTCTTCCCTTGCATGACCCTTTTTCTTTCAGTTACACCTTCCCAGAACACTCTAAAACTAAGTTAGGCCAAAAAACTTTGCTAAAATGTGGCCACGAAATTAAGGTGTAGAAAAGCCCTATGTTTGGATTAAATTCACTACAAATTTGTATTTCCTTAGTGCTGGGTCCCCACCACTAAGTGGCAACTCCTGGTGTCTTAGTACCTTCCCAATCAGAGCATTGGAAAAGAATTCCTTCAGCTTTCTTTTCTCACATATTTTCCCGTCTGCATCAGTCCTTTCTACCTGCTGAATGTGATCTCCATCTGCCTGGGATCTGCTTGCCTTATTCTCTTCTTTATTTGGGTCCTAAAATCTTCAGTCATTGTTCTTTTCTAATCAGAATAGAAACACTTTTCTGGCTGCCATCCTGCATTGGCGTTTTCAGGGAAGGTCTGGTACGTTGTTGTGTTGTTTCCTTTTTTGTTTCTTTCAAGTTTTTAAATTTTCCTTCTGACTTCATTAGTACTTGTATAATCTCCAGATTTTCTTTTGTTGTTGATTTTTTAGTTTTATTCCATTACGTAGGATATGATTTCAAGTTTTCAAGTTTGTCAGGATTTGTTTTGTAGCTGAGAATATATGGCTAGTTCTAGAAAAAACTGTTATTTGCTGATGAAAATTATATTTTCTGGCTTTTTGGATGTAGTGTTTTATAAGTGTCTCATAAGTGTGTTTGATCAGTAGTATGAGTTAACTATTTTTTCTTTTATGATCTTTTTGTTTGGACGATTAGTCCATTAATGAAACTGGGGTATTGCAGTGTATAGTGATGCATACCTGCAGGCCCCACCCCTGGAAAACTTGACTTCTGACTTGAAGTGGTACTGGCCCGGTGGCCACATAGGGAAAGGTGCTAGGAGCTGGAGCACTCATACCTGGTCCTCACAGCACTGCATAGTCCAGTGGGGTGGAGCTGAAGCGGGAACAGTGATGTTCCTCTTTACCCCTTTCACGGCAGTGATGCCTGAAGGCTGGAATCCAGGAGTCCAGCAGTTTTGGGCTCTTTCACCATGCATCGTGTAATGATATGATACTCAAACCATAGTTGCTTCAGAGCCCTGCTGCGTGTCCCTGTTGAAGAGGAGACAGCAAATACAATAGTGTTCCTTTTGTCCCATCAGTAATGGGTATAAGAGCAGCAGGGGCTTGGGACAGCAGGAACCGCCTGGGAGCCTGCTTTCAGTCCTAGCACTGGCTTGAGAACACATTTTTGACCATACTGGTTTCATTGGGCAAGCACCTTGAAAATGGTGGTTCTCTACCTCTCTATCAAAACACCTGTTTCCCCAGTACAGGAAACCCACCAAGCTTAGATCATAGTCACTCTGGCCAAGTTGGGTTCATCAGGTATCTGACTCTCCCTACTCCAGTGAAGTGCAGTGGAGTGTATGTGGGATGTCAGATATAGGAATGTGCAGTTTGTGGCTCCTAGATCAATCCAAATTCAGACTGTCAGTCCCTTGTCAAGGACGTAGCCCCTGGGGATTCACTGGGAGACGATGTAAGCTCCTTTTTGATGCCACGCTACTGTGCAGGTCTCAGGTTACCTATCTTGGTGGGCTGTAAGCCTTGAAGGCTGTGACGCTGAGGTAGTGAGGATTGTCAGCATCTGCGCTAAATTTGCCCAAACTTTCTTTCTCTTGTCCATGTCCCTGCAAACGAGAAGCCTTTCCTCTGGGCTCTGTAGCATCATTCTGTGTCATTGTTGCAGGCTTTTGGATATTACAATATTATGGTCTCACTCTTGCTGATGTCCTCTGTTCCCTCATGCTCATTTACCCCTAAACACAGCTATACCCCTCCTATTTTTCTCTGTAGAGGAGAGAAGGGGTGCTAAGCATGTTCCTCCACCTTCTGTGTAACTTTCTTGAAACAGCAAGTATCTCAAATGACTTGTGCTCTCACTTTTTCATTGTAACTGTTAAGCAAATTATTTATTTGACCCATCCATGGGTCAATTTCCTCATACCTAAAATGAGACCAATCATGATACTTGTCTCAAGGGATTGTTAATGAAGGTTAAGTTATTAATTCTGGGGTTAGAGAGATTGCTGAATGGTTAAGAGCACTGACTGCCCTTGCAAAGGACCCAGATTCAATTTTTAGCACCCACATGGCAGCTCACAACCATCCATAACTCCAGTTCCAGGGGATCTGACACCCTCTTCTGGCCTCTGTAAGCATTGCACCACATGGGTGCACTTAGATACATGCAGGCAAAACACTCATACACATTTTTTTAAACGTTAGTAATTCTAAGTCAAGCAATGCCTTTCCTTCCTCCCTACTTTTCCTCTTGCCTCCCCCTCCTCATTTTTTTGAGACAGGGTCTAGTCCTGTAGCCCAGGCTGGCCTTGAACTCCATCATCTTACCTTAGTCTCTGAGTGATAAGACCAAAGGCATAAGCAGCTGTACACAGCTTGTGCCTTTGCAGTGTTCTTTTGTACCATATCAGAATGCTGCTTTCATTTCTTCACTTCTCTCAAAAGCCTTTCGCCACTTCAAAGTCACATTCTACCTCCTCCCAGCAGCCGGAGTCTAAGTTCCTCAGAACTCATCCTTCCAGTTTCCTTTCACACTTTTCTGAAATGCTGACCTTTCTTTCATCCTTCCTGGACTAGTCATTTCGTATTCCACAAACCTTCTTTCCTGTCCATGGGTATTAGCCTAGGCTTATAGTTGCATCTTCTGTTGCCTGCTGTATGAAGTGATCATAGAGTCTTGACTCCGATGTTTTTGTCCCACGGACATTGAATTTCTGATGAAACTACTTCTCACCTACATTACTTCTGATGTAATTATAAATACTGTTTCTAATAGATTGATAAAGAATTGGCTAGTGGTGAATACTTCTTGAAGGCAAATCAGAAGAAGCGACAGAAAATGGAAGCAATAAAGGTAAGACTTCTTATGTTTGCTCATGATATTGACAGCAAAGTTCATAGATTTTTTTCAGTTCTTATTTAACTATAAATTGTATTTTACTAATATGTTTCTTACTAATGTAGGTGAAACAGGCAGAAGCTCTCAGTAAGAGACAAGAAGAAAGAAACAAAGCATTTGTTCCACCTAAAGAAAAACCAGTTGTGAAACCTAAAGAAGGTACACCCGTTTTCACTCTTGCCTGGGTATTTTTCACTCTAGATGTGAAAGCCTTTAGCATGTGAGATGTAACTCCAAAGTAAAATTAGTCTCACTCATACTACTGAGGAAATAACTGGGGTGGGAAAAAAAAGAAAAAAATCAGGGTTTTCATCAGTTTTCTTAGTTCATTAACTCATAAGCCCAGGGAAAAGCGACAGTTGAGCTATTTATAATTCAGTAGTGGCCAGTGCCTATTTCCTAGTAACCCTCTGACTGTGTTTGTGTTTGGGTTAGACTCTGTGTTGGGAAAGATATAAACCCAGAGCAGTCTGTGTCCTATGTAAAAATAAAACTAAATGAGGAACTAAGATACTTGAACTCTGTTCCAGGCCTCTCAAAGAGGCTTTTTCAGAACTGCTTCTCATATTTATTTGATCTGTGGCTTAAAAGTTCATCTCTACATTGTCAGCATGGATTTGTCATCATCTTAAGCTAAAATCAAATAAAACTGACAATGATGATAGATCATCTTTTAGGGATATCGAAAAGGTGCCTTTATGCTTTTTCTTCACCTTGTCTGACCTCATTCTGATTCGTCCTTTTTTGTGTTTTCTTTCCTTGTGGTGACTCTTGTTCTCTGTGTCAGAGTAACCCTCCCTCCAAAGCCAAGTTTCCTCCCATTTAGAGGAAACATTGTTTGTTTCTTTTAAAAAAAAAAAAAAAGAAAAAGAAAAACCCCACAAACTACCATTGGGCATATGTAGAGGTTAGAAATGTCATGAGCATAATTTTCAGTTGTGCAGTCTTTCAGTTAAGTGCTTTGATGTACTGCTAGCTGTGTGACCTCATCTGTAATGATCAAAGATGTGGCTGCTTTGTATAGTTCAGGCTTTGAATGTCTGTACCAACCCAGTGGCTGGGTTGTTTGGATGGTACGTCCTTCCTTCCTTCCTTTTCTTTTTTTTTTTTTTTTTTTTTTTTTAGTGGTTTGGAAACTACTTTTAATGGTAAGAAAAAGTTACATCTTTTTAAAAAAATGACTTCCTGTGTTCACACTTTTGACACTGACAGTCTGTTAAGACTACCAATATATAGTCTTTATTACCAGAATCATGCTAAATACTACTAGTCATTTATTAGTCAAACTAATAATTTGGAAAACCTTGTTTTTAAGTTTCTGTTGGTAGATTTTGACCTATAACTTTTGTAATTAGCAAGTTAAAGTTCCTGAAGCTAGAAGGCTATGTTTGATATTTTTCATGAAATATAATTTTACATTCTTTTGTGTGCAGTGTGGAAAATTGACATGCTAGTGAAAACTAATACTCCAAATAGAGACGCTAATGTAGTGCGATCAGGAAAGACTGCCGTTCACTGGCTGGAGTCGGTGTGTGGTCATGCCGCCTTCATCTGTACTTGTATACTTAAAGCATTTTCCTTTTGTTTTCTCAGGTATAGGCAGGCCTTTAACATGACTTCTTAATTCTTAAAAATATACTCTGAGAGTATTGCTTCAAATGTATATGTATTTTTAATTTCTAAAAGGTTACATATATATTTCTTTTAAAATTTTCTAGCTTCTACCGAAACTAAAATTGATGTGGCGTCTATCAAGGAAAAGGTTAAGAAAGCAAAGGTCAAGAAACTGGGAGCTCTTACAGCTGATGAACTTAAGCTTAAGATGGAAGCAGATGAAAAGAAAAAGAAGAGGAAAAAGTGACATTAGAAAGATATCCTGAACTAGAGCTTCGGAGCCATCTCCTTTTGTAAAGGATTTTGAGATATGAAGGCATTTGTTGCTTTACCTGTGAGCGATAACATTCAGGAAAAAATGACCAGAGTTTCTGTTCACAGACAGTATTCCTTCTAAGTATGTTCTCCATGTTGTTTGGAAGAAGGGAGTGCTGGAAAGTGGAGCTGCCTTTGTGTGTTTTGTGCCTCATCAGTTCCCTGGTGGTTTTTACCCAAATATGACTTTACCCAAACATGACTTTAGGAGTAACTTTTGAAAATTATGTAGATTTTTACAGTGAGACCATTGATTGATTATCTGTTGAATCCAACACCGGGTGCCATTGTTTAGTCTTGGTGCCATTGGTTAGTTTTTATAATATTCAAAAGCTTTTGGTTTTGAGGAAAATAAATGCAAAAATTTCACTGCTTTCTCCCATGCTAATGATTAGTATTTTTGGCTTATTCCTTTCTGCAGTTTCCTTCCAAGATTAAGCAGCACACAAGCAGAAATCAAATCCCTGTTACTATTCTACTCTGAGTCTCTGGAAATGGTACCAGAAAGACATCTAGTTGCATAGGAGCAGGGAAATCCGGGTGTTGAGTGGAGGCAGCATGTGAGGAGTAATGATTTCTTTTTCTTTTTGAGAGGCTCTTGCTTTGTGGCTTGGCCTAGCCTGTCTTCTTGCTTCTACCTTCCGGTGCTGATGTTATAGGTGTGGGCTACCTTGCCTGGCCAGAATAATGTTTTTAAACTAGCAAGAGCTACTGTAATTACTTAGAATTATCTAAATGTAGCTCACTCATTTATGGCTTTGGAAACTGAAACATAGTGAGTAGGTTACAGCTGTGGCAACCTGAAACTATTTATTCATAGAAAAGGAGAAAAAAGAGTTAGAAAGGTGAGCTAGTTCTTTTGACTAAGGCTTTATTGAAACATTTTTCTGAAACATTTGAAAAACAGAAATTGCCCGGTTGTTTAAAAAAAAATAAAACCCACATATGAGTAAGTTGCCTCTCTCACCTACCCCCACTGTTTTTGTCCAAAATAACTAAATTAGGATATTTGTGCTTTACAAAAATGGCAATTATAACAGACAGTATTAGAACTATTGACCTAACAATGAGAAAGAGAGACGTGTATCTGTTTCGTAGATATATGGGCCATTCTGGATAGTCAACAGAGTAGTAACCTGTGAAGAAATAAGTGTATGCTGTTAGACATATTCTCATGGCTCAGGAACATAATGCTCAGTGAAACAACTTAAGGTTTATATACATACGTGTGACTTGATCCCGTCTTGGATTAACTGTAAGACCAGAGTTAAGAGAAGGTTAGATATAGGTGAAGCTTCAAGTTTTTGTTTGTTCATTTTAAACCTCAGGCTTTGACCATGAACTTGATTTGGCTTTATGGCAGTGATTCTGAAAGGTTAATGAAGATTTTTTTTTTAATTTTTAAAAATATCTTATTTTTATTTTATGTGTATGTGTACTGCTTGCCTGTAGGTAGGTGTACCCATGTCTTGTGATGCCTGTGGAGCTTAGAAGAGGATGTCCAGTCCCACAGAACTGGAGTTATGAATGGTTGTTAGCTGCCATATGGGTGCTGGGAATCAAACCCGGGTCCTCTGTAAGAGCAGTCAATGCTCTTAACCACTGAGCCATCTCTCCGGCCCCATCAAGATTTTTTTCTACTAACTATTAACTTGATATTTTTAAGTCGTTTTATATGAACTTTATGTAAACTTTTTAGTAAAAGAAACTCATTATAATTGAGAAAACATTTTATGTATCAAAACTACAAGATAATACAGTTAAATTAAAACATTAAAATTTGGAAAGAATGGTTTTTGAGGAATAATATAATTTATTACAGTAAATAATGTAATTTGCTAAAGTATTTTCCTGAAAACAATTCCTCCCTTAGAAAAATGATTCTGTATAGGGTGAGTCAGTGAAGGGCTACAGTTTCTCATCCATTCCAGCACGCCATCAAGTCTTCAGTGAGGCATTTGACATATCAGAAAAACATAATTGTATCTTTTGCTCTGAGCTTTAGATACTGACATTCAGAGCACTAGGAAGAAATAAATTCCCAAATTGTTTTTGACTTTCTTGAAGCTTTCTTTTATCACATAATACAACCTTTCCATTAGTACATGAATTGCTATTGGATGCCTTCTGGGACCCACCCAGGACCTGGTGTGGGGCACTTGGGAGCAACATCTTACCTGGGACTGGGTGTAGTCTGTGCTGAACTTCTGTGAACCCACTACCCTTAATTTCTCTTGGCAATTATATCTATGAATTCACATGTATATGTCCTATTTGTTTTTTGTTATTGTTTTTGGGGTGTGTGTGTGTGTGTTCAGAATATGAAATATTCAACTAAAACAAATGTCCATCCAGGTAATAGCAAAAACCATCTCTTACCATGGGTATCCCCAGGCATTTTGCAGAGTGGTATAGATAAAGCTGCTGAGTGCTAATTGAACTATAAACATCATCTAAAACACGATGGAATCGTTTCCCATCTAGTACTATAATTTGTCAGTTAGAATCTGTTAAATAAAAAAGTTTTTTTCTTACAACTTTACCCTCATAGACTTCATAATACAAGGTGGGATGATTATTACTTTAATTGGCAACCCTGTTATTTAATGTTAGTGCAAGCAAGTGGGATTCTTTCACATAAGCCAACATTTATGTATTTTTTAAACTGTATAAATTGAACTTTATAAAAAAGAAATTAGTAACAGGATTGATATAGAAGGCATTAAACTATCCAAAATAAATAGATGATGTGCTTCAAAATATATAAATACGTGCAAGTTCACATATCTTTCCCTCTTAAAAATCAAGGAGTTTTTATTGTTGGAGCACAGCCTTATCTTCTAGGCTGTATCACACAGGATAGAGACCATCTGAAGTTAGAGCTCAAAAAAACACCACTAACAGTTTCTTATTGTGGTAAATATTGCTAATTAAAGAGGTAACTCATTGGCTTATTTTACCATTATTTTACTATGTGGCAGTGCTGTTGTGTACATTTTCCTATTGAGGAAATAGATACAAAGGGTTGACCAAGGTCACAGAGGCACAACTGTACATTGGACTAGAAGTTGGCACATTGATTCTAAGAAGTGAATTGCATTATAGATACATGGTACTGAGTTTCTTATTAAGACTGATAGAAGTAAAATAAAGAATGGCTGAATTGGATTTAAAAATGGCTCAGAGAACTATCTTAAAAGGTGCTGTTGTACCTGGAATGAAGTTTTTACAAATGTGGAGAAGATAGCAGTTTACTGGAATTTCAGTCTGGAAGGGACCTTCGAAAACATGTACGTAGAAAATGCTTCCAAACAAAACTGCTGCAGTGACACTGCTGACCCCTCCATCCCCAGCTTCTCTCATCCCAGCCTCGCTGCTTTGAGTGGTTCAAGTGGTTCTGTTTGTTACAGATGTAAATACGCAAGAACCACAGGATTGAAGCAATGATTTAACAGTTTCAGGTTTCTCTTCACACCATGGGTAAAAAGATTTCTTAAAGGATACTCAATATAAGAACAATAAATTTCTCTTAAATGTATGTTCAGTCCTAGAACAGTAAGTTACTGGCTCATTACACCTTTCTTGAAAACAGCTATCAGTGTAAAACATACTTTAGCTCTATGGAAAGTCTTTATTGCTAGACTGTTCTAACTGTTCTGTTACTTACTGCATAGCTTGTTCAGGCACATGTCATCTTTTGGGCAGTCACTGCAAACGGCTCCTCTCTCATATGGCCAAGTTGGGTAATTTCCTCTGTAAAGCAGAAGCCTGTCCATTAGAGAATTTTTTTTTTCCAGTTGTGCTTTACTATGAATCCTTGACCAAATCCAGACTAGGATGGGAGTCCAGAGATTGAGAAGGCTAGTAAAATGCGTGAAGAGAGGGAAGCAAATGGAGGGTTGCTAACATTTGTAGAGTTCACTTTGTACGCCTGTATCTATGAACATCTTATAGTCCACACCATCTCACTGAATTACGACTCTGAAAATAGTTTTTATTTGTTTAGCAGATAAGGAAGCTGAAGATCAAAAAGATGAGTAACTTGCCCAAATCACAGTTTATACACGAGAGGAAGAACTCTAGAAATGTCTGACACCCGAGTTGTGCTCTTTCCATTTAATCTGGAGAGTCTATAGCCTGTTGTGATTCCTGCTGTCCATCCAAACACTGTCTGTCCTATGAAAGCTATTATAGTCTGTGTATATTCTCAATATGCCAAGCCTGCCATAGTTTTTATTACATAGAAATTATTTGGCTTGAGTAATGCCCCCCAAAGACACAAATGAGATGGGAAAATTTGAAGTAGGACTTACTTTCATGTAAAAGATGTAATATGAATAGTTATCAGTAATTATTGTGTATAATTATGCTAACATTGTTTTAAGCATCCTTGAATGAAATAATCCTCATAACAATCTCATAAGGGTGTTATTATTATGTGTCTGTTACATAGATGCTGGAGCACATACTATAAATAGCTGACCAAGGTCACTGACAAGAAACTGAATTAATATCTAAATATTTATACTGCTATGTACATCTTTAGAGCAGTAATGATGAGAAGACGTGTATTTATATTGGTGAATCAGCCATTGAATAATTCTTGGAACTTGTGCTTTTGGGATATGGATCTTGTGTCATGGTGCCCTTTGATAACTTGATGAGGCCTGTGGACATTTTTCAAAATAGTTTTTAAATGTGTAAAATAAAATACATAAATTATAAAGGAAACTGACTTGAAAATTTATTTCAAAGTGTTTTTTGTAAAACATACAGTAATACATACGTAGTCATTAAATAAGATATGGGGGTGGAGAACTCAGTAAAGTATTTGCTGCATAACCAAGAAGACCCAAGTCAGTCCCCTGCACCCACATAAAAAGCCAAACACAGTGGTGTGTTTGTAATCCCAGCTCTGTGGAGTTAGAGATAGGCAGGTCCCTGGAGTTCACTGGCCAGCCAGCCTAGCTTAATCAATGAGCCCTAGATCCCATGTCTAAAAGCAAGGTGGAGGGCTGTTGATGATGCCTAAGGTTGTCCTCTGGCCTTCCCATGTGCACTCACCCCACATACATGTATGTGTACCTGCACATACCTACACATACATGCATGCATACCCACACATGCAAAAATCTATCAGGGAATCTAATACAGTTCATTTCTAAGTACAGGTGAGCATAAACTATTTAGAAGTAGCTGCAGCAATAGAGTTTGTTGTAAAAACATCTGATATTCCCAAGTATAGAGGTACAATTAATACAAAATCGGTTGTGGCAAAAAATGAGAATGTTCTCTTGCTTTCATAATGGAAGGAAACACTTTCAGTGCAGATTCATGAAAAATAAAAATTGTTTTTCTAATTCAAGTTCATTGCCTTCCCTCAGTAATAGCCATTTTAAAGTTTAAAAACCCTTATATTGCCGGGCATGGTGGCGCACGCCTGTAGTCCCAGCTCCCAGAGATGGGAGGCAGAGGCAAGCGATCTCTGTGCGTTCAAAGCCAGCCTGGTCTACATAGTGAGTTCCAGGACAGCTGGGGCTACAGGGAGACCCTGTCTCAAAAAGAAAAAAAAACAAAAAACAAAAAAAAAAACTGCAAATGAACCTACCATTTAACTCAGTTATACCACTCCTTGGCATATACTCAAAGAACTCATCCTATTGCA